GTATGGGTTATTGAGCATGGTGGATTCAAGAAGGGACCAATTGTTAATACTACAGCAATTATTGAATTGAGTAAGTACCATATAATTACAATAGTGCTTGTGATCAAGATAACATATAAGATCAGAATCATTATTGTTTCAAGTTCATAATTATTAATGCTTTTTTCTATCCTATATAGCTTGTACTCAAACAAAAGAATGGTCTATTTCTTTCATCACCCTAAGAGAAACTAAAGGAAAGAAAAAGAGAATGGGAGGAGCTGAAGACTACAAGACAGAATCGCTCAGCACGTAGGACACAGTTGAATTATGAACACAAGGAGATCCTGGATAGCCGGAAGGTCAAGGAGCATGTTCAATTGAAGCTGCATCAGGAGCTAAAAGAGACTAGAATCCAGCTACAAGAGAAAGAGAAGGAGCTTCAAGCGGTGCAAGAGGAGCTTTCAACAATCAGTCAGGCCCAGGAGAAGGAGTTCCAAAAAAGAGAGAGGGATATGTGATTAGAGTTTGCAGAAACAGAGCTACAGCTCCAGATGATAAAAGTCCAACTATCGGAGGCAAAGCAGCAAGCAAATGTTGTTCAGTTTCAATTGCAAGAGAAGGAAAAGGAGCTCTCAACAGCTCAGCTACAGCTTTCAGAGGCAATGGAGGAACTCAATGGACTAAGGAGAGAGCTAGAAGAGAAGGAAAATATTGAGAGAGAAAAGGAGAAACAGCGTAAGGAGGAGGATTTTTTCTGGTTTGTGAGGAAAGAGGACATCGTAATGATAGAGAAGGTTCTTGGTAGAGGTGGTTGGGGTGAAGTTAGGGTTGCTTTATTCCAAGGGCTGAAAGTTGCTGCTAAGGTTCTTCACGAAACCATCATTTCTGAATATAATCTTTCGATATTTTCACGGGAAATGGAGATTGCTGCTAAAGTCCGTCATCGATTTGGTCATCATGTCAGTAATCCTGATTATTGTCTTAATTGTCCTGAGGGGATTGACTTTGACTGCAATGGACTCTTATACATTTGTGACTATTTTAACAAAAGAATAGTAGTATACTAGCATTGTTGTTGTTTTTGCAGATCATGTTTGTGGTTTAAACTGGTATTTTTTAAATAAACGGTCAAATGAGTGATTGAATTTTAATTCCTGTGTTATTGATAACATAATTTTGATTATAGATTGTATTGTACTAACATTCACATGACTGGTTTGAAGGGGTACTCCCCACTACCAAGGAAATAACAATAATAAAAATACTTGTAGTAAGGTTTAATATGACTGCTATTTACTCAAAAAACTGAGATACCAAATATTTGAACTAACTTAAGAAAACAGTATAATAAGTATAAGAATTTATAAAGATACACACAGCGTCAAAAAGTCTAATAGTAGCTATACTAATAAAAATTAAAACATGCAACATCATAAAGTTGCTAAGCAATTACATGTATACTAATAAAATAGTCAACATCATAAAAAGCAAAAGTTTTCAGTTAAAAAAACTCAGTCTGTCTTTGATGGGGCCATGAGCTTCAGCGAATCTGTAAGCAGTTGCTTGATGAGATTGGTCCAGGGTGAGCAGTCGAAGAGTGCTGTTGTCTTTTACAAGAGCAAGTAGTATTTTTACCACCCCAGCTTCATCGAGCCTTAGGCCAAGAGCAGAGAAGCGCTGTAAAGTTGAGTTCCTCTGAACAACATCCGAAATAGCTTGTGCATAAGAAGCAGCACTTGTGGAGGAGAGAGGCAGTATCATTTGGCTGTTAAATTGAATGGTGAATTCTTCTAATGACTCATTAGTCAACAGGACATTGAGGATATAGCTCAAACTGGTAGGAGGAAGAGCAACATCTGTAAGACGAAGAGCCTTGAGCCTCTGCAGCAATTGAATGATAGAATGAACACTGTCATGAGTTAAAGTTGTCCTGTTGATGTGGAGATGTGTTATTGATTCTGGTAGTTGAAACAAAATGGCAGAAGTGGAATCGACAAAAGCATCATGCAATGAGAGGACAGCTTGTTGAATTTGAATTTCTTTGCATGTTTTAAGAGAAGGACCAGTTAGGGTAATCTCTGAATTAGACACAGAAATGTTTTCTACAGGTAGTATATGAACCAAAACAATTTCTTGTGAATGGTATACAAAGTACAAACCTGTGAGGGGATCATACTCTTGCTGTTGTAGCATTGGTGTGGGCTGATCTGTGGTTTCCTCTTTAATAGTGGTTTCCTTGCTTACAGGATTATTTGTACTACCTAAAAGTGCCATATTTATTTAATAATACAACATAATTAACATACGCTCAATGTTTTCTCCTGTCTCTTTGCCTAACTTAAACTGGGCTATAATTGCTACATGTAACAAATAAATTAATTTAAAAAAAGGAAATTTAATATCTTACTCACCAGTTTTTTCTTCTTTCAAAGCTTTGTTTTCTTCTTTTAAATCTATCACCTCACAACTTAGTGATGAAATCTTATCTTGAAGAATTGCAATTTCTGATTGCTTTTTCTTTGTATTTTTTTCCAGATCCTCTGAAATGATAATAGTTTTTAGGCTACTAATGAATATTTTTACTTGTTTTATTAAGCATGGATGTTAAGTGTTCACTCTGTAGAATTGCTGCTTTTTGTATTCGGTCTTTTGTCCGCAACTCTTCTCTTAAATTGGATTCTTAATAATAGATGTAATTTTTTTTACCAAATTATGTATAGCTTTCTTACCAATGGTTTGCAATTTTTTGATATGTTCTATAATAAATATAATAATAATTATTATTAATTACTAATAATTAAAAATACCTTTTTCCTCTTTAAGTTCCTTTTCTAGTTGAACAGCCTTTTCTTTGAAGTCATTCTTCATATGCATATCTATACAAGTTATTTTGGCTAATAGATATTATGCATCACAAACATACCTTTTTCAAGATCTAAAATAAAGATTAACATTTAACACAATGCATTGTAATATCATTTTTTGACTGACCATCAATCTTCCTAATCAATTCTTCATTTATTCCACGTAAGTCTTGATTCATTTTTTCCAACTCTAAATTTCTTTTCTCCAATGCATCTACTCTTTCCTTTAGTTCTTGATATGCCTGTATACAAATGCAGTATCAGAGTGTACATGCATATAGTACCTTGTCATAAAGAAATTCATCATATACCAAAAGGTATCCAACAGTGATCATCTTTATTTGCTTCTCTTTACAAAATGAAAACCCCTGTATTACTTTATTAATCAATAAAGTGGCATAAACAGGTGGAAAATAGCAAACTATGACTGTATCATCCTTAATACTATGCCATTTTACTACATCTCTAAAATAGTAGCCAAATAATTGCTCAAGAATGAATTTTACTTCTGCAACAGGGCTGTCACATGCCATCGCTATGGTAAGTGTTTCCACTGTTATACAAGTTGAGATCTCTCTTGAAGGAAGGTTGCAAATCATTTTACTATTCATGCATTCACTGGACTCAATGAGTTTCGTTGTATTACAGCCAATCTCCTCTGCAATTTCTTCAAGTAAAGACGTATCAAATAGTGTGGTTTTTCTATCTACAGCTTCCATGCAATCCTTAGCTGATGAGAGTGCAATGCATAATTGTTGTCTAAGAATTGATGTCATCTTTGAGAGAGCTTTTGGATCATTCAATATTTTTTCTTTTACATCTTTGATACTACCAAAAACTATAAAATACAAAAACTAGGTCACTACAAACGAGACACGGATGGTGCATTGGCCTTGCCAAAACAAAGAAAAACAATATTAATTTGTTTTACATGTATGATTCAAAACTATATTTTGTGCTGCATTTTACCACTGTATTAAAAGTTACTTGTTTTCTTCACAGTCTAATTAAATGTGAGGGTGTTTGGGTGTGGCTGCAAACTGACAGCATGGCAGTTGTTACAGTACAGACTACAGAGAAAGTGTCAAATCTTGATTGCTAGATAGGCCTTGGCAGATTATGCCAGCATAATTTTGAGCATAATAGGACCCAAAAGCATAATAGAGCTATAAAAGAAAATGTTGAAAAAATGCATTGAAAAATGCAATAAACAGGCACTTGCACTAATAAATTAACTGTTTTTATGTTTAAACAACTACTATTGCTCACAATACTTCCAAGAACTTCATAATTAAATTACTGGCTCACACTTTTGGGTGGGACTAAGTTATTATAATAAAATCATAGATATTAGAGTTTAAATCATAGATTTAGAGCATAATCCGCCAAACCCTATTGCTAGAGTAAAATGGTGCCTCTTGGAGTAACTGCTGGAAGACTTGAGTTCAGGCCCGTAACCAGGGTTACAAAAAGGGGGGTGACAAAATATAAGTTACATGAAATGGGGGTGACAAAGTATGAGTTACATGAAATGGGGGTGACAAAGTATGAGTTACATGAAATGGGGGGTGACAAGTTGGACTGGATGCACATGAAATACCACAAATACATGTTTGATTTAAGCAAACAAACAAAGGTAGTAACTCAAAAGGGGGGTGACATATCACCCCAATCACCCCTCCTTGCTATGGGCCTGGAGTTTCTTGGACTTCTACTCAGTGCACACATGCATTTAGTAGGCTCTATTTGTTCGGGCCATACAAACTCTTGTCAAGCGTCTGAAGTTTATAGGCCTAAACTACTCTTCCTAAGGACAAGCGCCTCGTGTAAAGTCAAGAGATAATTTTTAGGCATTCCTTTCTTCAAGACAAAGAAAGTTATAGAAAAACGCTACATATTTATCAAAGAAAAGGTTTTTGTGTCTCTCTGGAGATACTATATATAGCCCTGTTACTGGAATGATAGGAGAGCCTACCTATTTGGCAAGATTGTTAGCTTTTGGTGCCTTGCACTGCCATCTATACTTGATAAAGTTAAAGAAAGTAACTTTTCTAGTGCGTGGAGAAGTTATCTGAGTGTAGGGGACCCCCTCTAAAACCACAATACCTCAAAGTGAGAGATTGCTTCTGGACAGAATGAATGAATGAATGACAGACAACACACTTAATTACATAGTCCTCACCCACGCTAATCGCTGGCAAGGCCAATAATCGCTGGCGAGGCTAATAAAAGTGCAACAAATAGTTCAATCATCATAAATGTTATCTGAATACTTGTAACAGGTCTAAATTAGTCATATTGAACCATCAACAGTACTTTTCAAACTATGCATGCAGCAGTAAAAGAGGAGCCTGTTATGGGAGTTTGTTTTTACAAAAAATAAAAAAGTTAAAAGTTTATAAGCTGTGTGACAAAGTTGTAGTTGATGATCAAACATGCTGCTTTATTGTGTGAGCATTTTCACCTTTTGTATTTTGTGTATGATATTAATCAAGCTTAAAATATCAAAATAAAATAATTAATTGTAAGATATTAATTAATCCCAAAAACAAAACATAATAATCATATACCTTCGTGCATCTCATTGGAGCCAGCATCTAATTCTTTAAAAGCAGCATCTACAAAATTATAATGAAGAACCATTATAAAATTGAAAAAAATTACTGCAATTTTTTATAATGTTGTGACCAAGAACTTGATTTCCTGTATTTACACATATTCGAGCAAACATAAGAAGTAGATTATGATCCTCACTAATGGCAGCCCCAATGTAGCCCAAGAGCATTTCAAGACGTCTTTCACATGAAAGCTCCTTTTTTCTTATTAAGTCAAGTTCCTTCTTTTCTATGATTTTTTTTTCCTCATAAAGCAGAATGGCTATGTCAAGAGGTCTGTTAAGGAACTTGAGTTGTTCGTCATGCAACTTAAAAATTTTAGTAGCATGTTTCTCATTAGTAAGACCAGGATAGCATGTACTATCGTATGTAACCAATGTTTCTATCAGAATGAAATTGAAATGAATCAGTCAAAAAATAATAACTTCAATCTGTTGTGCATACAACTCACTGTGTGATGCTGGGAGTGGGGGCTGCGCGAGGCTAGGGGTTAATGGCCTGTCTTCGTCTGAGCTTTTGCTAGGAACAGCTAAATCAGTATTAAATGGTGTTTACATCAGTTTTACTTACTTTGCTTATCTTTAATACAATCAGCTGCAGCATTATCTATTCCTTTAAGAGCATCTCTCAGTGTATCTATTGTTGGATCCACCTGCACACCATCAGCTTTACGCAACCAGCTAGCCAAACACTCTCTTAAACAAGGATCTACCTGCTCTCTGTGTTTATGTTCAATGCTTTTTAGTGTGTTATCAGATAGCTTGAGATGTAGACCAAGTTTATAATATGATGCTTTGTTAAAGTGACACTCCTCAAGTAGCGCAATCACTTCATTGAGATTTTCGATGTCTGTGGATGAAACAGCCACCGGCATTTTATTATAAAAATTAATGCTATTGGATAAATATAATTTTATAGATCTACTCACTTAAAGCCATTTAAGTTTACTATCTCGTCTATCTCTGTATCTCAGCCTTCTCTGACTCTGAGGAAGCACAGATACCAGGTGAATTGAGCTAAGGAATCTGCGTCAAAATTCTGTGTAGCTATGCGCATGCGCATAAGTCCGGGGCACCGTATTTATTTTGGCACCCGTCAGCTGGTCCGGAAATGGAAAAATTGGCCTACTATATAGACCTTTTCACGATACGCGACTGGTGGAATGTTAATGAGATGTAAATTGTATTCACGATAGGGTGCGGTCAGATTACACCCACTGGGGGGAAGATTATAGCTGTGTCTATGGAGGAGATGCCTAAAAGCTGCTGTTTAGTTAAATGGAATGACTGGTTGGGCAAGAAAAGAGAATTAAAAGTCTTTAGATCCCTTCTAAAGGATGAGGAATGCTGCAAAAGTTGGACAGCAGCTGTAAGACGTTGCAAATCTGCTATACTGTTGCTAGAACCTTCACTGAGACTTATAAACTGAA